AAAGGGAGTAGTGGCATGGTGAGGCCTTAGGATGAGAGAGAGGGGCTAGAGACCCAGCCTGAAGGGGAGAGTACCCTCGGCTGGCCCATGCTGGGGCCAGGACCAGAGAGGGTCAAAAGGGCCGGGGGCCCACTGCGAGGGATGCCCAAGAGCCAGGGGCCTGGGGTCCCGACTGGCCTTGAGGTGGGCCAGGGCCAGGTAGCCGAAGGTTCCGGGGGAACAAGGCTTCAGGGGGGCTAGGTAGCCCAGATGAAGGTGGAGAGGCCGCCTGATCAGGAGAGATCATAGTGGGGTCGTACAGGATGATTCTGGGGCCCAGTGTGGGGCCGGTGATAGTGTTAACACCGAGATGCCATCTGCGAGGCTTGGGCTGCGGTATTAGGGGAGGTCGGAGCTGCAGAGCGCCCCCTGGCATCGGGGCACTACAATGGGCAGCCTCCCGTTTAATTGACATCGCTATACGAATCAATTATCATCAAAGGCGTGGTGGGCGAGATAAGCAGGCGGTTGCCCAGAGACAGGTGGGCGGGCCACGAAGAGCTTGCCCCTGAGTAGGCCTCCTGTCATGGTGACAGGTGGGCGGGCCACAGAGGTCAGCCCCAGGAGGCCCCCTGTCACAGTGTGCTTTTGAACTAACACAGAGGTGCTTTATTTCAAAAGTGCACCGCTGCCATTTTCTGTGCATTTCGCCGCTTACACAACTGCTCATGGCGCAGCACAGTTTGCCTCAGCTAATGTGTGGTGCAGACTCAATTAATCAAGTCCGCTCTGAAGCAGCAGATCTCTGGCATGTCGCGGGACAGAAAAGTATGTGTATAAATGTCCACAAAGACTAGAGAAGCTTAGCTTTTGCTCAAAGTATGTTTCTAGCCTTCATGGTTGCAAGTAAATGTGGCTGGAACAGTATCAAGGCAGCAAGATCTGCCTGGATTTGAGAGAGTCTGCAACAGCAGCATACATATCAGAACTGCCAAGTATATCTTACTGGGTTAAGAATTTTAACACCAGTGAAGGGGCCCCTAGGAATATCATCCCAAAACAGAATTTGAGAGAGCACCCAGTACTTAGGGTGTTAAGTTGGGATACATGAAATACCTTTTTGACTGCCAGTACTACTGCAGACTTCTTGTGAGACAAGGAACCTGAGCACTTAGCCCTTCTGTGCTTGGGCTCTCTATCTGTAAAAAGGGGGTAACAACACTTTACCTCACAGAGTATTGTAAGATTAAATACAGTAATGACTAGGTACCCCTCCAATGTAATGGTAAATGGGTACAGGGGAGACGATATCAAACAGCAAAGAGTGTAGCAAGCCTGGCCCCCCCACCCACCCAAGCAGAGACATTCTGGCTGCTGGTATAAGTAGTAGAGTCCTCGCTACTCACTGCAACATTTCATCTATATTCTTCCCATTAACTCATCTTGTATAGGTCTACTCAACAGATTCCATCGAACATGTGCTGGTTTTTATAAAAAACCAGGCAGAAATGTTTCTGTCCTGGACATTGGAGTGTGCATGCCCCATACTTATTCTCACAGTAAACGGTTACACTGACTCCTTAGCAAAATAGAGAAGAGAAACTTTCAGAGCTTCCTGTTGTGGAGGGACGTCCCTCCACAACAGCTGAAGCTTATTAAGGTTAAGGTATAAAAGAAAGAGGAATCTTAAAACGTGAGCTTCATATAATCTCTCTTCAACTCCCAGTGGGAAGAGAACTGATGTCTGAAGCCCAGGCATAAATGGTTCATCTTTAAGACCTCTACCAGCTAATAATTCTAGTAGGTAAACTAATTGAAGGGTACTGGGGGAAGTGGGAGGCCCTTTCCTACAACAGAACTAGTGTCCCATACACTTCTCAAATCTCCCCTGTGATTTTTCTGCTCTTCACCTGAGGGGTAAAGAGCAGACAGATGTAGACTAATGAATAGTCTGATCTCAAATTATAAGGACTAAAACTGTGCTTGTGAATTTAAAAACAGAGTTTAACGAAGTCACATGACAGAAAAATAAGGCTGTACCAGTTACAGAATTTTTCCTATTACCTAATCTCCATTTTGTCAACTTCATCAGCATCTTCCACATCAAAATGGGATTTTTTGTTGTAGCTGCTGGGTCTTGTGACCTGGTATGAAGGAGACATAGTTAGAACATTAATTCTATGAAGCAGGAGATCTCACAAAGCTCTCAACACATACAGAGAGCCTACATTCATCTTTAACTTAACCTCTGATTATGCAAACATTTAAGCATATTTGAGCAGGGATCACTCCTGTAGAACTGGATGCAGAATCAGAACCAAGAATAATTATACCAGACTCCAATATTTTTTCTGTATAGTGAGTGAAGGAATCTATCAGATCTTTGACTCTAACATTTAGACAGACACATAGAATCACACAAGAGAGATGTCATCAATATTTAGAAGTTTGCTTAAAAAAAGAAAAAGAAACAATTCAGTGATCAAATTTCCGATACACGCTCCTAACAACAAATATTTTTCTACTCTGTAAAAAGATCCATTTAAAAGATCTGCACTTCCACTCCCCAACATATCTATTTTAATTGGGGCAATTTAAAAGTGGGACATGCTGCTTACCCGTTTGAAATCAGCGTATTGTATCCCTTTGCCATCCATCCCCCACCCCCAATTGTGCAGAGGAGGTAATTTTCTAAGAGATATGACACTGGGGTTCTACACATCAGAATACAGGACTGAGCTCTTAAACTTCTTAATAACAGAATACAACTTCTCTTTTCCCCCAGCTAAACCTGCAGCGTGAGAAAACAAAAATAGCAAAGCATATGCACCAAAGAGAAACTGCAAAAGTAGCCACAAGGTAAAAGTTTTAATTTGGAGATATCTAAAAATCTGTTTGCTTCTAGCACAGCAGAATAAAAAGGCTTTGAGCTTTGTTTTGACTGTGGTGACAGAAACTTGAGGAAAAAGCACCCCACCCAGCCATAACCACAGCAAACTGTTCAAATACTAGCAAAAAGGCTTCATATGCACCTGGGCACTGAACCCACTCAGCAGCTCATCTTTATTATAGATTTAAAATCTTCTTGTGGCTTAGTACTTCCCATCCACAAAAACGGCTTTTATTATAAGCTTAACTTCTTTTTTTTCCTGTACATCACTAGGTGCATACAGAAAAAGAAAATGATTTAACTGTGAAACAGAGGAATCAGAAAAGACTGTTTAGCACATGAACTCCAATCAGCAGCATTATTTCTGCTCCTTAACAAGGTAATAGGTGAAATCTAAAGGGGACTAGAAGTGCTGGTGACCATGTTCCTCAATTATATATTTGATTTAAATGCACCTGGGATCCACAAAGCACTGTAATTTAAACATACTACATCATTTCAGCAGCTTGGCACAAATTTCTCTATTCCACCCTACAAACCACTTCAAATGATGCTTCAAGATATTATCCTGTTCATGGCCCCAGCCATGCTACTGGAAATGACATTTTTACTCTAAGGCTACTCATGTAGATAGGGATAATAAAGCAAAAATGTTTTTATTTTTTGTTGTAACTGTAAAACTTGAATCAATCTTTTCTGCCTAAAAATTAAAAAAAAAAAAAAATCCCCCCCCCTTTATTTCAGTTTTGTTGTACTTATATACTTACATGTTACCATATAACACTCGTTAATCTGAGTAGGCCAGACCTAAAGGTTCAACCAATGCAAACAGAGCAGTATTCTTATAAAAGTATTTCTGAAATTAGCAGTAATTCAAAGAACTGAATTAGGAATTCCAGGCTAGGGAGAACAGGATGTTAGCTTGCCTTTAGCCTACCTTTATGACCTTCCCAATTCTCAGCTGCTCTGCGGTCAGAAAGGTGGTCTATATAATGTCAGCCTTTCACTAAATCTTAGCAAACATGGTCTGTCCTCTCCACCCTTAACCCATGCTGTCCTGCCCTGGCACACCTCTTACAAGGTTTGTGAAGGGGTCCTTGGTTCCTGCACATGAGGAATGCTTCCAGTCTTTTAGCCCCTACAGGGCTCTAAAGGCTGCTGTAGCATTTTTGCTCAGCATGTATGGACTAGGGAGGTGGTGACTGTCTTGCTCTAAGCACCAGGTGCAAGTTTCACTTGCAACACCCCTTACATCTGACCCTGTCAAAAAAATGACTCCACTGAAGCCAAACCTACAATAAGCAGCACAAGACAATACAAAAAGCCAACCTTTTATTTTGGGGAGGAAAATATTCAATGTATTGACATTCAAATATTGTCTTCCACCTTAGATTCATATGGGTCAGCATGAATTCCAGCAAAGCCATCATAGGGTGGCAGCCTGGTATCATATTGTCAACTGATGGCAATTGATGGATCTCCACTGGATTGATCTATTATGCCATCTTACACCAGGTGTAGACATGGTCCTATGATGTCATCACCTGCCTGCAATTTCCAGGGCATGAAATTGGCTCCCAAGACAGCAGAAGCTGGTGTAAAACAGTGAAGTTCTCCTTTGGATAATGAGCAAAATTATGGACACAAAGTATAAAAAAGACTTCAAAAGTAACAGAGCACATACTACACTGCTCAGTCAGAATGCTAGAAGACAGGATCAGGGCATTGACTCCATCCAGCTTTGAGCTCTTTTCCCTCCTGTAGTTAGGAGTTTGTGAAGTAGCAATTGCAGAGATTACCTTCCTTTAAAACTTCTGCTACCTTTTTAATACAATGACCATCCCACTGACACTAGTGCTCGTAACACCACCTTGAAAAGGTGAACCTCTCAGGGTTAGTTTAGAAATCATAGCACTTTAACTAAAGTCTGATACATGCTGGTTTATAATGAGCCTATATTGGTTTTAACTTCCATAACTAAATTTAAACAGAATCTAATTAAACTGGACTGACTTATGTGACCAGACAAAGCTCTGCTGGTTGGGTGCTTACTCAGCTGGGTGGGTGCTAACTAGACTAGAGATTATATGAAGTTAGTAAGGCTGCCTTTTATGCACTAGGGCATATCTTCATTACAGTTATGCCCTGAATTCTGCTTCCACCTGCACAGAAAGTCCTTTAAATTTAAGCTATAGCTAGTATGCTTGAAGCTACAGGCCTGAGGTCAGGCTTCTCCCCAGCCCAGGCTGGCTACCTGCCTATTTTGTAGGAGAAAGCAGGCTAATTAAGCCCCCCTGTGCTCAGAGCTCCAGCCCTATCCCTAGATTCTACCTAGACCAGAGTTTTTCAACCTGTGGGTCATGACCCAAAAATGGGTCACAAGAATACATGAAAGGGCTGTAAACAAACTTGAAAAATACAGCAACAAACTTTGAAGGAGAATCCATTTTTAAAGGAGAAAAAAATGTGGGCAACTGGGGCTTTTCCTTTGCAGGCTGGCAGAGCTCCAGCCTGCAAGGATCTCCTTCCCCTCCCCCCCCCCACCCACACACCCTCCCCCTGTCTAAACACTGTGGGGCTGGGGCCTGGGGGCAGGGGGCAATGGGTTGGTAGTGAGAGGCACTGGGTTGGGACTGGCCATCAATGTTTACAAATGGGTCTTAATACAAAAAGGTTGAGAACCACTCACCTACACTGTTCTCTCTGATAATCTCCACCCATCTTCTGCACCAAGATCTCCTATACTGCTTCAGTGCTTTAATTCTAAAATTGCCTGCTCCATTTTTGCTGCATGCAGAGGCATAGAAGTCAGTCAGGTGTGCTATGAATCATTATATGGTTCCCAGAATGAATTCCTTAATTACATTCTCATTAAAAGTTCTTGCTGCCAAATGTTGTTTGCTTGTGTCTTGAAAACCACCTGCACTGAAATGGAATTCCCCATTCTGAATTTATTTCTATAGAGTATTGTTCATGTGTCACTGTCATTGACAGCAGCTTCATAACAGGTGAGAGAGCATGAGACAAACACCTGTGAATGAATCTACACACTGCTGTTGCTTAATGCACTACTAATAACGTCTTGGATATCTTGCCAGAAATCCAAGCCAGCACATGGGCTAGACAGCACCAGTTACTTCAGGTCTAGCACTGACATGGGTTCACAGTGGGCACTACTCCACTTCTCCTAGGTTAACGCAGGCTAACTGTTCTGTGAAGTACCTTAGAAAGGATTTGCTCATTTGCTATCCTAGTAAATCCTCCTAATACAGTTGCAGTTTATCTTGGCAAATGTGGGATTTTGTTTTGTTTTCATAGTATAAGTTATATCCTGTCCTGCCATGCCAAAATATACCATACTGACAAATGCATGCTTCTGCTAGACCAAATGTCTCTGCCCAAAGGGGCAGATCCTAATTCCACCCTGCTCAAGGCTCTGAAAAACTGTTAATGCAAAGGGGCGGGAAGAGAGGAAGGTTGGGCAGGGGGAAGCCTCCTGCTCCTCACCATTTTTGTGACTTAGTCTTAAGGTCAAGATGAAGGCACACTGCAAAAATTGACAGGTTAACAGTTCTTCAAGGATGCAAGCAGTAAGGAATAGATCACACTTGGGTGTTTAATAGATGGAATTGGATCTGGCCTTTAGACTTTTGCTGGTATAAAAGTGTCATAAAATTCAAGCTCCTAAATAACACTACAATGGCTGCAGGAGTTCTGAATGCAGACCAGGCCTGATCAACATAAGGTACACTGGGAAATGAACGTTTCTTGATGCTATAACTACATCTACAATATGGCTTCTGCCAGCATAACTATGCTGGGTTGATGCATTTTTATTTCCATTCCTATAACCAGTTTAATTATAAATACAGACCAGGCCTAAATCACACACGATAAACACTTCCTTAAACATTAAAATATGTACAGTTTATACACAAAGAACACCAAATGAAAAGAATCTGAACAACTGTCTCAGGGATGTAGGTGAAACATACAGAACTCCCTACTACTCTTACCAAGATAAAAAAGGAGCTCTTCAAATGGGCTATTTCTGGACTAATTGAAAATACTGTGCATTACAACAAGTTCTCCGGATTTCATAGAGCTGAAGAGAAAGCTTTGGTGTTACAGAAGGCTGGCAAGGCACTGAGGCATTCCATTTTGAATGGATTTCCCCCATTGCTTTTAAAGGTCTTTATAGTTCCTGTAAGACAACTCTCCTACCACTGACTGTAGAAGATAGGGTGGAGCAACTATAAAACCAGAGTCTGGAAAATATTTGCTTATCAGCTCTAGTTCAAAAGATGGCTGAGTAGGGAGGGCTGAATTAGTGGCAACTGAAAAGCCTGCTCAGGAGGACAGGCTACCTAGAAGACTTGACTAATCATCTGAAAAAGTGACATGCTGCTGCCTCAGCAGACAACTAGTCTGATCCTGGATGCTTCTGTCTCTCGCCTGGGGTTTGAATCAGTCTTCAAAGGAGACAGCTGGCACAACATGGAGCAAGATGCTGTGCCAACTATCTACAGTGTAGGATTTCAGCTTATCACCCATTCCTTTGAAATACCAACCTCAAAATAAAACACTTCATCAAATTGTGGATTGTTGGTCTTCTTTTTGACTTTAGTCTTTTTGGCTTCAGATCTGAATTAAGGACAGGGGAAGAAAAAAACAAAACAAAAAACACATTAGTAGAAGCACATGTCCCAATGCAGCTATGGAATACTGAAGTAGCCCATGTGCTTGATTTATTTTTTGTAAATCTGTAACTCCATGCAGCATGCAGAGAGAGAGAGACTCTTTGTAATGGAAAATATCGTGGGAACACATATTTAAGAAACAACTTAAGCATGCGTACATATTAAAAAGTGCAAGTATTTACAGCTATCATCCACATTTGGAAACACACACCCTCCAGCCCAGATCCTGCAAACTGCTTTGTCAGAGAGGACTCTAAACCCGCACGGAGCAACTTGTAGGAAGTGGGCCTTGTGTAGTAATATCCAGGGGACAGAGTTTTACCCTGTTCAGTTCTGAAAGAAGAAAGCCTCCAAAAATTCTCACACTTTAAAAACACACAAGGAGATAGGCAAAGATCAAGTCAAATGGATGCACCACGGTCAGAGACAGAAGAGGAGCTCCCCGTTGCATCTCACAATGCTTTGCAGGAAGTGCTATGAGATAGAATTCCCTGGATCTGGCGATCCCAGCTGCTTGCAGCAAGCCTGCAGCCCGGTCTCTGTAGCGAAGCCACTCCTCCTTCCAGCCCAGATGTTGTTTTCAGAATGCAAGGGAGGAAAGGAAGAAGAGGGAGCTTGTTCTTTGGGTTCTCCAACCAGCACTGGAGGGTGGAGTGGGTGGACTGAAGCCCTCCCACCTCAGCAAGGGGGAGGAAGGGCCTCCAAGCCACCTGCCTCACCCTCCAGCACTGGCTGCAAAAACCCCAGACCAAACTCCCTCCACTCCCTTTCCTCTATCCCATTCTGAAAACAGCAACAGGCTGGGAGCTCCACAGAAACAACTTACAGAACGCAGTCTGTTTTGGAGCATGCTCATCTGAACCCTCGTTCAATGGCAGAGACAGAAGGCCCATTAAAAGTGGTCTGCAGCTGTGTACTTCTGTTTAGTCACGGCTTTAGACTGCTTTTTGGGGTCAGATTAGGCAAAAATTGTCACTTTTGTCTGTGCCCTGTAAGTTTAGGATTTTTAGCAGTATGCGGAGTCAAAGGCCCCTGACAAGCATTACTCTGAAGGCATGATTAACCAGTAACCTGGTCACATGTTCATACAATTAATGGTACAATAACACAGGGAATAAACTACAAAATGATTGCACACGTTTTGCGTAATAATTTTGTGGCTAGTTCTTATCACATCTTAAATTGAATGTGTGGCCAGGGCATTCCCTGGGTGGGGAGTGCCAGTCTGCTGATTGGTGCTCCCAGCCTCAGGAGCACTAGTCCACTGACTTGGTGTTCCCAGTTGTGGGTGCACTAGGCACCCAGTTTGCTACTTACTAGTGCAGGTGGATCATGATCCTGGGCTCCCGTTGCATTGGCAGTAAGGCACAATTTGGGTCTGATTCCTGATTCCAACAACCATGCCTCCTCCCATGCTCATGTAGCATGGCAGGAGACAATTGTTGAGACCCTGTGCTACCAGATCCCATCACATCTTGAAACGAACATCTGTTAGCAGTCAAAGGAGTGTTTCAAAGGATTTAAATAATGAAAAATGCTAAATAACTCTCCCAGGAAGATTGAAGAAGGCTTTTAAAGGAACATTTTAGCATGCAATCTAAAATTTCACTTCTCTAAAAATAGTTCAGTTCTCAAAAGATTTCATTATTTCATATTTTTGGACCCACCATGAAGTTATATATAATTTTTCCCCAATATACTGGTAAAAGCAGTACGGTAACAATTTTTAACATGGACTGAGAACAAAAGGAACTGAAGGCCTCTGCTTATCCAGGGGTAGAACCAACCTGAACAGAGCAAGGCTCCCCAGGACTAGTCAATGTGCATCTTAGTCCTGATATGGAGGTCATGCTCATGCTCCATTCAGTCCTTGGCATCAACTGAGAGTGCCATCAAACATGCCAGCTGTGGCTGTATTTTAGGATGTAGATACCTGGCCATTAGCCTTTGGACTGAAGCCATCAATTTAGTTTACAAAAGCCAGCAAGCAGCTATCAGTAGATAACTTCTGAACGCTATAAAAGCCAGGCTCAGTTTGATCCAGCCAATTAGAATGTAAAAGTTCCCTCTCTCTTTACCAGTCCCCCGAGCCATCCAGACTCTCTGCAATTTATCAGAAGTGAGAAGGTATGAAAGTTGTGTTAGTAAAAGTCAAGGGGATACTAGCATCATGGGAATTTTTTTAAAACAAAAAAGCACATCTTTGGGCACGTCCTTCATTTCTTACTCTGAAAAGCAACTTACACTGCACTGCTATAATTTCCCACCTAACATTATTATATTATTTTATTGTGGGGAAGGAAGTGTGGCTTTAATTCCCAGTTTTGCCACAAACCTCCTGTGTGACAGTGAGCAAGCCACTTAGCCTGAGGTATGCTTCTGTTTCTCATCTATGAAATGTAAACAGTGCCGTTTCCTATCTGTGTATTTAGTCTGTGTTAAATCTTTGGGATGGGGAGTGTCCCTTACTCTATTCATATAGTTCCTAAAAATGGGCCTCCAGTCTGGTCTGCGACCTCTAGGCTCTATACTAGCACACAAATGTATGCTAATAAAGTTGGTTAATGCTTATTACTTGGTGCTGCACATGACAGATTAAACACAGTTCCTTCCCCAAAGATACAGGGGGCACTAACAAAGAAGAAAATAACTTGAGATTAAAAAAACTCACTATTGTAACAAAGAACCAAGCAATAAGAGATACTAATCACTTCTGGGATATAATGTGTAGTTGCCTATCCCAACTCATCAGTCACAAATGCCAGTCAGCTTTTTTAACAGATAAGTACATCTTAAAGGGGAGAGGATTGGAAAACAGGATATGGAACAGTATGATTAAGACAGGGACAATTACTGGGCAATTACTAAGCAACAGACAGGAGTGAGCTGTATGCTTCTGAATCAAGTAGGAAAAACAGTGATGGGAAGATGATAGAGGTAAGCCTTGTATATGGAGATAGACAGTACTGTTTGCCTCCAGCCCCGTAACGTACAGAGTCATATTAATTGAGTTAAACTATATCACTGGACTTTGAGACAAGTTGCCGTATGGCAACACTGTTACAGCGCTGTGCTTTAGTACTTCTTTTTGGAAGTACTAATGCACGGTGCAGTAACCACCTGTAGTGTGCCGTGCTCATGGTTAGATTTCATTGCTACGCCCCCATAGTGGCGCACTAAAACGAAAACAGGGGTGTGTGCTGCTACAGCAACGTAGCTGCCAATCATGTCCAGACCCACATGATCGCTATGTTGTTATAGCACACCCAAGGAAAAGTAAAGACAATTAAGACTAAAAGAGAAGCCAAAAAGCTCATTTTAGTAATCACGTTAACATTATTCACCTGGTGTCATTTAAACAAGGCAGTCATTTCAAACATTTGATGCATATCGCCCAAATATTGTGGCCATTATGTTGGGCGCAATTTAAAATATCTTAAGAGCTTAGGTGCATCAACCTGTTGTGCACCACAAGGCAATTATTTGGCAAGAATGTGTTTCATTTATAACAGTTTACCTAGTACAACAGAAAGTTCTGAAGTGTTTGTGCTAATTAGGCTGAATCCTTGAGATAGAACAGCTTGGCTCTGTTTGTAAAACAACTCACCTGATAAAAAGAGGCACAAATGAACCACTGACACCCCCAAAATCTAATTATAGAATGTACCAATTCAAGCCCCCATTTAAAATTATTATTAGGTTAACAGTTAAGATCAACAGCACTGAATATTATCTAATTATTTAGGCCCTGCCGTACCATTTTTATCTGAATAGGGCCCTATACAGTATTTTCCATAGATACTGAGGTGCTATATATACACCTCAGAACTGAAAGGATTTCAAATATTAAAATTTAAAAAGCGGCCTAAAGCAGAAGTAAAAACCCAAATAATTTAGTCTTTAACTCTCACAGAACAAGCAAGCTGCTTGAACACTGACTTCCAATTTCCAGGTAAGAAGTGATATCAGTTAAACTATACTAGTTAAGGCATAAATTAAGTACTCTGCAAGATTCCATTTACTCTATAAATATTCAATACTTTAACCTATCAACACTGATATAAGCCTCACGGCATTTGCTTGGTGTAGCAGGCATAGCTAAATCTCCTGTCCATAGCAGAAATCAAATTTCCATTAGCTGAAAGGAAACAAACAGCAATTTCTCATTACAATTCTACAATGGGAAAGCCCTTGAGTTTTCACTACTTACCTGTATGGTCCAGCTAAGGTCACGGTGGCATAGGGGTCACACTGTCCATTCACGATTGGCAGGCCTTGGCATTCTAGGACTCTGCAGGAAAGAAATAACACCCACTGATTCAGATGAGGTTGGAGAGGCAACTGAAGTTGGTTATCTCCCTTTTCACTATCATTGTCAGAATGCACACTGTTATTAAAGGATCAAAATGCCATAAAGCACAATGCCATTTTTTTTTTCCTTAGAGCAAAAATTATTTTTCAGTTTACACGAGCAATGTCAATGAGGTCAGAAACCAGCATTAAAAGTACAGGGAAATCTTAATTTGAATGCAATTTATAACACCCCCCAGTATTAATAATAATTCAAGTTTCTGTAGAGACCATCATCCAGGCGACACAACCACTTCATGTTTGAATTTTTTATAACAATTGGTGCATAAAAATTGAGGTGTGTTTGTACATGGCTAATAGGTGCTGTTTTAAGATAGGAAAACACATTAGACATTCTGGCAATAATCAAACAATGTTTGGCATAGTGGCCTTTGTGACAGAACAAAAATAAATGGCATGCCCTAATAAACAGCCAATATAAGTATGACCTATCTTTCTCTCAAATAGTAAAATATTCAAACAATGGAACTCAAAGAATCAACACAAGTGTTTTTTAGGTCCATCTTGAAGAGGTCAAGGTACTGTGGAAACAGAACACAACTAAAAGGGTTGTCACCCTACTCAGACCCCTGTGAGGAAGAAATCTTTCAAGGTAAAAAAACAAACAAACTTGCAGCTGTACCTTTCCTACTTGTACACACAGTACATTAGTTCAGCTTCTGGTTTCAAAATGTAAAAGCTTTTTTTTTTGAGAAATGTAGAATTCATTGATTAAAAAAAGAAAAGAAGAGCAAAAATATACTCCAGAACTCCCGTTCAAATATGTGGGGTGGTTGATTGGAAGGGGACTGAAATAAAACTTTAGGAAAGTGGAGCCATGAGAAGTGCAAGCACTGAGAAGGAATATGCACATGTGAAACATACAGGAGAGAGGAACAAACACTTCCTCTTCTTTGTAAGTTTTTCACTTTACACTTCATCTTTCGTTAATATTTAATCCTATGCTTTCTACATCATTGTAATCTAATTTACACATTGGATTTTATTAAATTTAATGTGTTTATTTATATATGCTCAGATATAAGAGTCTTCACTGAACAGATAAGAGAGCATCATGCTTTAAAACATCTTGTGAAATGAAGAGGGAAGAGGGGAGGTCACACAAACATTTTCAATAGTGGGAAGAGCCAAGATACAAATTTTCATAAATTAAAATGTGACATTTGCCCAGCAGCTTAGTAAACATTGCATCAGATCTAATCAAACTGTGGAGTAGGTGGATGCTGCCTGAGTCAATTCAAGACTATGGGTTGGCTACATAGAAAGTTATACCATATAAACTAAAGTGTGAATTTGAACAGATATAATTATATCGCATAACCACACAGATTAAACTACATGGGTGTAACTGAAAACTTTCCCATGCAGACAAGCCCTAAGCTTTTCTGGGCCAGTGCTCAATTCAACATAACACTGCACAAGGTCCGTACTTCCCCAGTCTTATTTAGGTACCTCACTAGAACCCAAAGCTTCCCAGCTGGGAGTCTCATATTAGTTTTACCCTCATTACCACATTCCAATTTATGGAATATCTTTTCTTGATTTACTACTGTAAGTGAATGAAGAGGAAAATCTCTTTTTGATTGGTTCTGAATACCCTAGTGAAACCAAAGTTCAAAACTGTAACAAAAGTGGACACCCTCACCAAGAAGTGTACTGGACCATCATGTCCTGGTTTTATTTGGGCTCTGCTATGATCTTGTTATGCATCTACCTTCTGCACAGGTAGAATCTGGCTAATTGACACTTAAGGGTACTACCACACAGGAACCACATTTAAAGCCATAAATGCTCCTTTGACCCAACTGGGAATAAAGAACACCTGCACCAAAAATCTGTAAGTCAAGGGACATACTGAATGGCTCAACCCACCCCACTGTAGAACTGGAAATGCATGCAGCATAGATGCAATTAAAAAGAGCAGAGGAAGTGAATGCTAGTAGGGGCCAACCTTTTCGGCAGGAGTCCCACAAATTAAGCCCAGTGCCCTCCACAAGTGCCGCTCTGATCCCCTTCCTCTGCCCAATTCACTGCTCTGCTATCTGTTCCTTGTCTTACCTGCCACTGTGCTACCTGTCCCTTTCCTGATCTGCTGCAAACCAGACACAGAGGCCGCTGTGCCACTTGTACCACAGGTGGGCCACCCACCCCCTGCTCTGTCCCACCATTTCTCCCAGCACACCTAGGTCAGTCAGGAGTGTGAAGAGACATGCTCCCTGACCTCCACAGCTATACTGACAGAAGCCCCTAACGTAACATATTTTTTGCTATGACTCTTTTAAAAGTAGTAGTTATTTTACTACCAGAGGGTAGTTTTATTATAATTAGTACAAAGTGCAGCCTTGGTTGAGTAGCTCAGGGGTTTTCAACTTTTTTTAACAAATGTACCCCTTCTGCCTCAAAGTTTCAGCTCATGTACCCCTTTAAATTTTTTCTTGTTTTTAAAGGGCTGGGGGAGGGGGGCAGATCGAGGCCCCCATGGTGAGGGAGGGAGTGGGGCTGGAGCAGTCCAGCCAGCCAAGCGGTGTGTGTGGCCCACAGAGGGGTGCCACTGCCCTCGTCCTCTGGCCCTGCTCCTGGGAGCAGGCACAGACAGCGAATTGAGGTGGGGGTCAGGGAGGCGCTACCGTGTACCGTGTGGGGCTGGCGGCGCCCTGCATGCCTATCCCCCCCTCCTCCCCCTGCCTCAGGTAGGAAACAAAAGTATGGGAATGCACTGGGGGAGACACTGGCACACTCCAGGGCCCACTCTGTCCCTACCCACCTGCTGGCATGCATGTACCCCCTATGACCTTTTTAAGTACCCCTAGGGGTACGCGTACCCCCAGCTGACAACCCCTGGAGTAGCTACTTCCAAGCTTCTTGCTTGGAAGTAGCTTGCTGGTCCAGCTATACCAGCTTCTTGCTGGTATAGTACTGCAGGTCTTCCTATGCAGGTAAAGTACTTCCCATGCATACACATGGCCTAAAACACCTGCCTAGCTGAATGAATCATTAAAGAGAAACTTCTCAGCCAAGCCTGTGCACCAATGTCCATCACACATGCCTGTTTTGCCATTTCTTTAAGGATAGCCTACAAAATGAAACACTAATCTCAACAGGCTTTCATGAATGGATCACTTCCCACCCAGCTCTCTCCTCACAAGATGAAGTAGCAGAGGTCCATGATGCAAACATAGGTGTCAAGAACACTTTTCTCCCTTTGAATAAGAGCACTTCTTCCAAAAACCATAAAGCCGGCATGCAGAGATGTACTGAGAGCCAGGATAAGTCCGAGTTCAAGCATCAAACGTTCTGTTTCTTTTGTGTGTGCAAAGGGAATGAAAAAGCAAAAACAACCTTGAGAGAAGCAGTATGCATAACAACAGGAAACAGGAGTTGACATAAGTTGCACCCAACGCCTCTTTCAACTCATATAAAAACAGTTAACACCTAAGGATCTTGGAGAAAATAGGCTACAGATTCAAGAGTTTCAGAATTGAGAAAAATAGCTAAGCCTAGAGAGAGATTCATTCTTGCTCCCCAATTTAACTGAGTACTAGTGGCAGTTGCAAAAAAATTCAGCAAGGCACGCATGGGTTTACAGCTTTTGTGTACTCTTACCAGCTGCAGAAAACTCTGTAAACCTGGAAGTGCTCTAAATTACAGGCCATTTTCTTTAGTCATGGGAAGTTTGTTAGGTAAATTAAAAATCATGTCTCTCCTCATGTATTAGAGCCCACACCATAATTCACAGGCAGAAGAGGTGTTAGAACAAAAGTTTCAGTTATTCCTCCTAACAGTTAAAGCAGGAGCTAATTCTGACACATGGGTATAAAAGTCACTGAGCTTGTTAATACATATATAAGCTTTTTATACACTTCCCTATTTGTATATGTAGTACATACATAAAAGCCCTATCACCTCCTTTATAAAGGGTGGGGGGGAGGGCACGGATTGGTGTGGTTTCTAGGAAGCAATGAAAAGAAATCAGTAAAAAGTATTACATTCATTTGCAAAATTAGTTTAGCATACAAATAATATTAATGACAAGAAGCCAAAGTTGAGCAAGATTATTCAGTACCTAACAGGCTGTGTTGCTAGACTGCAAAGGGAAAGCTTCTGGCTGCTAATGGAGCCTCTTTAGTTCAACTCTTAGCATCTGACCATGCCAAGTCTACAGCCCGGATAAGTTAGCTACCTCTTGCACAGCTGGGAGGGGCTGGGGAACGTGGTAGGTCATATGGGAAAACTCACAATGCAGCTGTCTCGCTATATTTTGCCTGTGGCTTATAAAATTAACAGGTTTCAAGGAACAAGAACAAAATGATTTCAGTTTCAAAAGTTTGTAACCGAAAACTTCACAACAGTACATATCTTATAGAAAACTGCAGAAAGGTGGGGGAAGGCAAGAGAAGGGAAATGGGGCACACTGCTTTAAATATACTCTCTGTCCTTTCCATGGAGCGGTCATAAAAGTTCACAGTAAAGGAAGGAGGAACCTTTGCACAACAGACAACATTCCACGCCTCAGAGAGAATAAACCCGCCTGCTGCTTAGAGACTTCCAAGCATGGGGAGTAAAACCACCGTGGACCTTTCCTTCACAACAGAAGCCGGGAATGGTGAAGTCTGGAACCAAGTTTACATAGGTAGCAAATCATTCAGCCCAGGGGTCAGTCACTTTTTAGAGCAGTGTTTCTCCACCTTTTTTTAGACTCGAGGCTTCTTTGGAAAATGCCAGCTCTGTGTTTTCACTTGGTTTTGTTGGGTTTTTTTACTACAGAAAAACAATAGAGCAACTTTTCTGTTGCAAAGAACTCAGAAAGGACACAACAGGCCAGAATGCTTATAGCACTAGGGATTCCTTTTTGAAATGTCTGGGTTTATCTTGTGAATCATGTTTGCAGTACTAAGATTGCATAGCACCCTGCGGCACCCT